AAAAAATGTCTCTAACACCGATGCATTCTATTTCCACAAAACCACTCTTCCGAAAGGAAGACAAAAATCCACTTACAGGGTCTGGCTTGGGCCGTCTTCGAAAGCTGGCATGTTAGCTCCTTTGTATAATTTTTTCAGTTGTTCTATGTGCTCTGAGTTATCAATGCCCATTCCCGTTGACAAAATTTCAGCCCGGACGTTGTAATCAACGACAGAAGTTTTCAAGTTTGGAAGTTTTGTAATGTGCACCTTGAATCAAAGAAAAAGTAAAACGTTTGCAACAATCACACTTTGAACTTCAAATGAATCACTCTCACATGGCGTCGCGGTCTCGCTGTGCGACGTGCGATGCTCCGGGGCCCACACGCCACCACGTGCTAGGGCCTCACCCTGCAGCGTTCGCATCATTCCATAACTGAGGGAGCACCAGAACCTTCCAGAACCCAGCCCCCCACTGCAGAGCTGTGATCAGGTCTGGAGATGGGGCCAAGACGGAGTCCTGGAACAAAGCTCCAGACGAGACCGACGCGTGGTGCTGTGACCACACGCACAATTCTTAACATGGCTCTGGTCTTCCCTCCGGTGCTCTCCCCTCTCCTAACAACGAGGCTCTGGGCCTTCAGGTGCCCCAAAAGGGGTCTCCGCCAAGGCCCGAAATCCTGCATCCTGGACAGTTTCCTCCACTTGTTTTTTTTCTGTAACCAAAACATTCTCATCCATTTCAATTTACATACAATTAAGTAAAACATGAACACGTGCAACAGTCGAGTCCTGTGGGTGGGAGGTGTGGCCCCAGGCCTGGGCGTCCCTTCCAAGGCGGGGTGGGGGTCGGGGTGAGGGTGGGGAGGGGCCAGGCTGGGGCCGCTGGGGCGCCTTCCCGGTGAACGTGGGACGCGCTCCCGTCCAGGACGGCAGAAGAGCCTTTCTCCACTCGGCCTGGGGACCGAGCTGGGCTGGGGGCGAAGGCGGCAGGTGGGGGGTCTGGCTTCCCTCCAGTGCACCATGGACCCTGCTACACTTCGGAGCTGCGGGAGCGTTTTCTTTTTCTGCTCTGTCCTTTTAGCTCTAGTTTTAAAAATCCTTGCCTAAGAAAGTTTCCATTTCTCCCCTCTGATAAAGAACCACCACAATACTAACAATGCAACATCAACTAAGGCCCCAAATCTCTCCATTTACCTACGTTGTCGGTCTCTACCTTCTCTTCTACAAACTGTTTTTTCTCCTTTTACTCTTAAATCTTACACCCAAACTCCTCTTTTCCAGTGTCAAGGCTTTTCTACTCATAAAAACAACTTTCAGCAAAACAGTTTTTATGAATTCCTCTCAATCTTACCAATCATCGTAACAATTACGATTTAAGTCTAACAGAGCAAAACTCTGAATCCGAGTTCCTGGGGTGCAAGCAGAGTGGGGACAGTGCGGCACCGGAAGGCAGGCACCGAGCCACGTGTCCTGGCCTCACACGCAGCCCCGCCCACCCCGCGCCGGCTCCCGGGGGTAGGAGTGGGTTCGCGGATGGCACCCCAGCGGCCAGTATGGGTCCTAGCACGTGGGAAGCACTCAATAAACTACCTGGTGACTGGATTAGGAAGAAACCATGAACATAACAAAACCTATCTCAGAAAGCCCGAGGACTGGAGCCCTGCCCATTACCGGCCACGTGCCGGGACTAGAAGATTATTTACAGCCAGATCCATGCATGCCTTGCTGTGAAGGGCCGTCCCGAGCCAGGGCTTCCCACCTGCGTGGACAGAGGGCTGTGGAATCAGTTTAACAGTGCACAACCGTCACTTGAAAAAGTGGACGAGAACAGAACTGTAAATGTTGGAGACTGTCGCATGTCCTAAGGATACTTTCACGAAGCTTCTATCTCAGCTCTATGTGCGAGTGGGTGTGATTTATACACATGCCCGGGGGGTGCTGAGTTTCAATGTAAAAGATTCTCTTAAACAAAAAAAACCCCACAACCAATTTCAGGACCCAAATAACATTTAAAAAAAAAACCAACTAAAAACACAACTTTCCCTAACACAAAGCCCTCATCAAATTAGCCTCCATTTATGTGAGGCAAACAGTTATTCAAGCAACAGGTTCGAGTAATGGGTACTTTTAGGGGCTGATTCAAACACAGGTTTCTCTTAAAGAGATCTGCATACTTACCATTGGATCAACCCAAACTGTATTTCCTAAAGCCAACATCACTTTTGCATCGTGCAGTTTTCCAGTAATTTTATGATGAATGTACCTAGTAACCTGAAAAACACAAGTCATTTCTCTGAAGCTTTAAGAAAATACCTTGTTCTGCTCTACAGTTGTGGAAGCAGCTTTTCTGTGCATTTCATCTGAGCCTCATAGCCACCCCATGAGGAGGTAAGGGAGGCCATCGTGCCCCCCACCAACAGGGGAACTAGGGACAGAGGTGAGTAAGGACATGCAATGGGGAGTCCCGAGCACAGGTCAGGCTGCGGACTCCGAACATCACCTGTTTCCCGCTGTGGATGTGCGTCCCTCACCTCCTCCGTCCACCTGTCTTTGAAGGATGAATATTTATTTCTTCAGAGGCTCAACGAGAGTGAAGTTGAGGGTGTTTCTGCTGCTCCGAGGAGGTCACACAACGGAGCTGCTCAGCAGCAGGGACACTGGGGTTGCGGGGCCCTGGGATCCACCAACAGTGGAATTCTCTCACCTCCATCCTTTGAAGACAGGCTGACAGTGCACAGGGGAGGTGGGGACACGCGTCCATAATGGGAAACACGCGGTGTCCAGAGTCCACACACAGGCCTGTGCTCAGGACTCCCCTTTGTATCTGTCCTTACTCATCTCCACCGTTTACAACCCAAACTTTTTACTCTTGCTAACTGCAATGGCTGCTTCTCTCATGCCTGATTAATCAGATGATACAAAATTTAGCCTTCTGCTGAAGAATCGGGGCATCATTATAATCAGGACTCACTGGTCTGCGGACAAGCAGGGCTGTGTGTCTGGCCTCTCCACCTCTGCCCGGGGACAGCCACGCGAGCCCACATGGGACCACTCTTCTGGGCTGTGTCTTCGCACACGTAGGCTTCTGTGCCTTCAGTGCCTTATCTGGTCTACTTGGTGACACCCTAGGTACCCATCCTGAAGGGCCCAGAGGAAATGTCCCTTCCTTTGGAAGCTTCTCTGGCCTCTCTTTCCTTGTCCATCCCCCCAACCCCAATGGAATCACCTGGTCTCTCCGGACAGTGTCCATCACCTACGTTTCCCCTTTGACAGGGACGCTTGCTTTTGCAGCTGTGTACACTGTCTATTCTCCTTAAGCGAGAGCCTGGTTATTTTCAGCACAGTGCATATTTTATGGCGAGTCTAAGTCCGTGAACACGCTAATGATAATGATGGCAAACCGTGCCCGGCCCCTGGGGGCTCCGAGCCAGGCCTACGCACCGCGGCCCCAGTGCACCTCTGTGCCCAGGGACGCGAGCAGACTGTGCCTTATCCTCCCGGGAACACGGAGCATTTTACCCGAACCCAATAACCCAAATTCAAATACACCTCACTTCTGTGTATATTCCGGGTTAAACGCATCCTAAAAGGCATATATTTGCCAAATATAAAAGCCAAAGTAACTCACCTTTGGATTCCATTCAATTTCATTGTCAGCGGGTTTCACTCTACAAACAATAAACTCCACGGCCTGGGGGGGCAGAGTGTGGAAGCGTTCCGGGAGCTGCAGCAGCTGGTCTCCTGTGACCAGTCCAGTCCTGCCTTCGTCTATAAACTTCACCAGAACGTTATCCGGGGCCCATGTGTCTTCTTTTTGGCCTACCTCCAGCACCTGAACCCTGCAGGACAACACCAGCCTCAGTCTAACAGAGACCCAACAGGGAGGTAACCACTGCCTCGATTTACTCGTTAAAAACAAAGCATGTGAAATTCAACTGTGAAGATTTACTCCAAACCAGAAATAAAATAACTACAGTCGTCAGAAGCATTTAGCCGTGATTTATTTAATTCAAATGTACCTGAGTATAAAACGCAGTGCAGTACGTTGACTGGAGTAAACCCCTCTATCCGACAACGCGGTGGAAATGAATATGGTTCAGTTTCTCAGCCTGGGCCGTTACCACGCAGGGACGGCTGCGGCATTGGAGGGACGTTGGTGCAAACTGGCACGTGAGGCAGGCTGGAGCACTGACCGTGCCACGTACTGAGCTGACCTTTGAAAACTCACATAACCCACCAGGGCTCCGTCTGCTTGTATGTAAAAGAGGAACTGTGCCCATTTTAAGGGAAGTTTTAAAAATTAAGTGAGTTAAAGTTGTACATGTGTGCTGCACACAATAACAGCTCAACTGCTGTCCACAGATGAATATCACACTGTCATCCCTGCTCTGTGCCCAGCAGCCCCGGGGGCAGATGAGCCCCAGGTGTACGGTTGTGCTGGGAGTGAGGAGACGCCTGCCACCGCCCCCTGGAGGCAGCCAGGCTCAGTACACGCACAGCGGTCAGAGGTGAAAACAGGGACTCAAGACCACTTAGTTACCTTGTGCATCACAACTTTTAGGGATGAAATAAACAGACATTTTACCTGTGAAAAACTGTTTTTTCTGCTAATCCATATAATCCACATTTCTCCACCTTTTCAACAGCTGTTTTATCAGTGGAATCCTCAAAATACTCCTTCATTTCAGCATTAAGAGTTGCATAAAGATCCACATGCTTACCAACTATACGACCAAAGTAATTCGTTGCATTCAAAATATAAAAGGGTATTATCTGAAACATAAACATATCCAGAAAAAAAACTCAATCTAAAGCAAAGAGGTATCTGACCTAAGAGCCCAAAGCACCCCAACAGGGATTTAAAAATAAACTAGGAGACAAAACAAAGCAAAAACCTTAGCATACACACAAATAATTATAGTTTCATTTTAAATCTAATGGAAGATGTTTGGGATAAATATTTTAAAACTTCATTATTAGTTGTAAGTGTTAACTTGTTTCTTACCTGTATTTTATTTTTAAAAAAAACCCTTTAATAAATAGCTTCCTTGCCTCCTGAGCTCCTTCTGATCTGTTCATGTAACACGGTGTATTTTATTAACAGCCTGCAGTGCAGGAGGCATGGGGACACAGGAAGCATGTGCTCCAGGGCCCTTCTGTAATCACAGGTGCACAGACGTGCCACAGCCAGCGTGTGGTTGAGAAAACAACTCTCCACAGGCTCATGTATGCAGGGTTCCTGGTGTGTGAGGGGTGTCGGCACAGGTGTGCAAGGGTATGGAGAAGGCATTCCAGAAGGGGTGGGGATGGAAGGGCAAAAATACAAATGTGCATTAGAGCAGCGAGCCCTGGTTGTGGAGCAGATGCCAGGAGTGAGAAGTGGTTACCTGGTGGGATGGGGGAGAAGGCAGTGCCAACTGGGAGGCAAAGCAGCCAAGGATAAGGTCACCCTTCGTGGCCAAAAGAGGCTTTGATCTGACAAGGCTGACAGCCATGGCTCTCCTCTGTGGCCCCCTCCAACTTCACTGAAGCTGGCTCCTGTCACACTCCACAAACATTCCACACAACTCCTGCCTCAGGACCTTTGCACTTGCTGGTCCCTATGCGTGGAATATTCTTCCCCAGATAGTCTCATGGCTGGATCCTTCTAATCATTTGGTCTTCAGTGCAGCTGACCCATCCTCAGGCAGCCCATCCCTGCCTGTAACCCCTGTCCTCACAGCATACACCCTAGCACTTCACTGAATTTCCTCCTCTCCCTTTGTCACACTTGCACTCACTGCCAACCATCCCCACTGAAGTGGTACCATGGACAGCTACCAAGTTGGTCATGGTTCCCAAGCCAGTCATTCCCAGCACCGTGGAGAAACTGCCTCAGTAAACCCTCGATGCTCCCTCAGGCCCGTCATCTCAGGCGGGCAGTTCAGTATTTCTTCCAGCCTGACAGACAGGCTCCCCTGGGGGGTCTTCTCCCCAGTGATTCAGGGCCTCCGACAACCTGGTGGTATTCAGACAGTAGCCCACTCGGTGACGGCATCAGTGGACACGAGGTGCAGAGAATGAGAAAAACTCTCACTGCAATGCTACGAGCACTCACGACAAATAAACTTTTTTAAAAAGATGCACAAAGAAAAACGACAGAGAACATACACTAAGACGCCAACGGTGGCTGTTTTAGGAAGACAATAAAGGGGAGAGTTTCTTTACCCGTATTTCCCGTGGTGGAAGGCTCTGTGTCGAGCCCGGGGGCCCAGCACACACCCACACACCGGTGAGCAAAACCCAGGCCTGAGCAGGCATCAGTCTAGACGTGCAAGTCCCCGCCGCACGGCGTCAGCACATCTACAGACACGTAAAGCTGGCAGGATGGAGGCGGAAAGCAGCAGCTTGGGGCCCAGACCCTCCCCTCCTAACTGAGGAGGAGAGCATGAGGCCTCCCGACAGGTGACCAACTTGCCCTGTTCCAACACCCAATGTCTCTCATGGTGGGAAGCCCCTCAGTCCTGGGCACATGGGAGGGTCCCTTCCGGTCACACACCTCCCCACCTGGTTTGGTTCCACTCTCCCCAGTCATCCTGCATGTAACTAGTTCAGTCTGTTACGGTTGCAGGGCACAAGGTAAGGATATGAAAATCAAGTGCATTTCTTTTATTTATTTAGGTGGGGGGAAGTAATTAGGTTTGTTTATTTATTTATCCTTATAGGAGGTACTGGGGATTGATGCCCAGGACCTCATGCATGCTAAGCATGCGCTTTATCACTTGAGCTACACCCTCCCCACCAAAAATCAACTGCATTTCTAAAACAACTAGAAGATGAAGTTTAAGAAAAAAACAGCATTAAGAATGACATCCCAAACCATGAAATACTAGGGATAAGTTTAACATAGTAAGTAAAAGATCCACCTACTGTATGATTGCAACTAATGACATTTGGAAAAAGGCAAAAAACTACAGAGACAGTAAGAGGATGGGTGATTGCTGGGGGTTCTGGGGAAGAGGGAAAGGGGTGGATGGGGGAGCACAGGGGGTGTCAGGGCAGTGAGGTGCTCTGTGTGACACTGTAATGGTGCGTATGTGTCATTACTCATTTGACAAAATCCATAGCCTGTACACTACAAGGAGGGAACCTTAATTTAGGTAATAATAACGTCTCCATATTGGCTCATCAGTTACCACACGTGTACCACACTAGCGCAAGATGTTAATAGGGAAAACTGGTGGTGGGTGGATGTGAAGAATACAAGGGGAACTGTGTTTTCTGCTCAATTTTTTGCTGTAAAACTGAAAATATGCTAAAAAATAAAATTATTAACTTGAGCAACAACAGAAATATCAGTGAGTAAAACCAGCCATCACGAGACCTGGGTGGCACCGCTGCCTGTGCAGGATGCAGCACGGGGAGGCAACAGCGTGTCCAACGGACCGAGGACAGGAGGTTCCACGGCAGCGGCAGGTGATGCCCGGGCACAGCGGGCCCGCGTGACCCGGCAGCTCATAGTGGAGGGCTCCCACCCACTCTGATGGGGGGTGAAGGCTGGGCCCCTGTGAAATCCCCACACTGTCCACCCGGGGACAAGAGAGACGAAGGAAGCCAAGGGCCAGATACACATCGGGGAAGGGCACAGAGCCCGGGAATCGCACAAGTCTCAGAAACTGCCTCTCCACATTTTTTTTTTAATGAAACATGGAAACAACAGAAACGGAAACTCTGTGAGATTAGAAAAGTTACCCTGCCCCACACCTCCTCTTAAATTTAAGGAAAAGGAATTTTATCTAAAAATGAGTAAGAGCGAAGCATCAAGGTCAAATTCTACATTAAGCTATAAAAATAAAAAGAGAAGGAGAATGACAGCCGCTACAGACAATGGAAGCACCAGAAAGATGCGGCCACAAAACTAGCTGCCTTGTAGCTTGTTAATTAAGAAAATGACGTATGATTTAAAAGAACAACATAAATCAGAATTTTTAAATGTAGAAATTAGGTAAAAGAACTTGGGAAAGAATCAGAAATTGAAAAATAATTTTGCTAGCAAAAACTGTATTGTGTTGAATGGTGCTCCCTTTTACCCCAAAGAAAACTATGTCTCTGTGCTAGCTCCCAGGATCTGTGACTGTGACCTCTTGCAGATGTAACTAAGTATCTCAGGATGGGGAGATCACTCTGGATTATCTGGGCGGGCTCCCTGTGGAAATGGCAGGGAGAGAGAGGGGAGGGGAGCGTGAGGATGCAGGAAGGGGCTGGAGTGATGGGGCTTCACGCTAAGACAGGCCACGGAGCGCCTGGAGCCGAGGGAAGGAGGCGGCGGCAGGGAGAGGACTGTCCTCCAGAGTCCTCGGAGGGAGCACAGCCCTGCTGACACTGGGCTTTCGGACTCTGGCTTCCAGGACTGTGAGAGAATCAGTGTGTGTTGGTTTTAAGTCACCCAGGCTGTGGCATCTGTACAACAGCCCCAGGACCCCTGTACAGCGCAGCCACACAAGAAGGGGCACAAGCACGAATGAACATAACAGGGAAAGGGCAGCTGAAAGCAGAACACTCAAGCCCGAAAGGAAAGGAACAGAGCAAAAAAAAAATTCCAAGGGAAGTGGCAAATGCTTAGCACTGAGACCGACAGCAATTCCAACTGCAGCTCATAATCTCCCCCAAAGGAATGACCATGAATGTTATGAGAAGATTCGTGTAATCACTGTCTTATTTTAACAGTTCCCAAAGGGAAACGACTTTCTTTCTCAAAATAGAACTTTAAAAAATCTCTCAATTGTTTAAGGAGTTTATTTTCTCAATTTGATCTTGGTTTTCTAAACAAGCTGGCACCTCAGAATAAGGCACATCCTATGAACTTGTGTCTATTGCCAGATTAATGGTGGTACATTAATACTGTCATAATGACATTCTATTAAATTCTACCACTTAAAAAATGAAAAACTTTCATTAACAATGACATTAATCTTTGGACAAAGGGGCCTTTAACAGAACTTACTTTTATGTATCCAAACACTGGAAGAGCTTGGTTGGATAATTTCCTTGGCATGTCTGCTTCGGGATTAACATGGTGTCGATCAGGACAGATCCTTTCGTTCCTGAAAAAAAAGGAACAAGATTTTAAAATCAGAAAAAAAATTTTTTTGAACATAGATTTTAAAGTATTCTTCAGGAAAATTAATCTATAATCAAAATCAGAGAATCTGTATTTCAAATGCTTTCAAGTTAAGTAACTATTTAAAATCCCTTAGATGACACTAACCATGTGTGAATAAGAGGAAAGGGGTCCTAAAATTTGACACTGTGTAAACTTAAAGGACAAAGTTACTGCATTATTTCTCTAGACATTCTTAAATGCAGTATGTAAATGAACACAAAGGATTTCCCAAATAAAGATTTTGAATCAGAAACACATCACCATAACCCACAACAGAGGCCAATTAACCTCTAAACCAGGAGCCATTCTGTAACCCAAACTGCGAAACAGTTAAAGCTTCAGTTTTAAAGGTCCGTATTTTACTTAAAGGCATAGTGGAAATTGCTGCTGATAACCTATTTAATGTACCATAGTTTAAAATAGTTAATGTCAACAGTTATCTTAAAATTAAGCTCAAACCAGTAGACATCTATCAGACATCTCCTACCCAGTCCCAGCGGTATACCCATCAAGTAGAGTGAGCGTGTCTGGATCCCCGAGAAGGCGTGTGACTGTTACAATATCCATGTCTCCCAAATTGATTCACAGAATCAATGCAGTTGTTATTAAAATTCCAGCAATGTTTTTGAAGAAACTGATAAGCCTATTGTAAAATGAATATGGAGATGCAGTAGATTCAAAATAGCCGAAACAATCACAAAGAAGAGCAGAGGTGGAGGACTTACGTACCACTTCCCAAGACTCACTACCCACTACTGTACTTAAGAACGTGTAGTGCTGGCGAGAGAACAGACAAACAGACCAGTGTGACAGAGAGAGTCCACAGACAGACATGTACTGTCATCTGGTTACGTCAAAGGCACCAACTCCATTTGAACACAATGATGTTTTAAATAAAGAATGCTGGAGCACGAGATTATTCATATAGAAAGAAGTAAACCTTGCCCCACATCAAACACTGTATACAAACATTAAGTCCATATAGATTATATGTATAATCTAAATGTAAAATGCAAATAGCTAAATGTAAAAGCTAACTCGATAAAGCCTCTAGAAGAAAATACAGAAGAATGTCTTCATGACCTGGAGATAGACAAGGATGCTTGGAAACAGCGACCGTAAAACACGTCACCAAAATTAAAAACGTCTGTTCAGTGGAAGACTCTTAACAGAGTAAAAAGGCAAACCACGGGCTGGGAGAAGATATTCTCAACGCACTTATATCTAGAAGAGACAAATCACTCCTACAAACCAAGACACAACCCATTTTAAAAATGCGCAGAAGACCTGAACGGGCACTTCACAGAGGACGGTCCAGTGTCCCACGACCATATCAAAAGACATTCAGCATCATTAATCACCAGGGAAGCACAAATGAAAACCACAACGGCTTCCTCCCACGCTGTCATGGATCCTGAGTGTTGGTGAGGATGCGGGGCCATTCAGACTCTCTCACACACTACTGAGGGGTCGTGAAGTGGCCAGCCCTCCGGCAAAGCTAAACACACATCTAGCCCACGACCCGGCAATCCCATTCCAAAGTAAATACCCAAGAGAAATGAGTGCGTATTTGCGCAAAAGCCACGTACAAGAACCCACGGCAGCTTTGTACGAAACTCACCTCACAGGCCCATCAACAGGCGTGTGGATACACACCTTGAGACATATTCACACAATGGAATTCTGAGCCACAAGATAAATAAATGAATAAATCAAACACCAACATGTACAACAACATGGATGAACGCCACAGACAGTAGGCTGAATGTACTGCAACTGCATTTATATAAAGTTCAAAAACAAGCAAAATCAGTTCTTGTTGATAGACATCATGAGGGTGGTTACTTCTGGAGGAAGGGAAAATTGGGAAGGGCAGGAGGGGTCTCTGAGGGGCTCCCGCAGAACCCGGTGGAGGTTTACACGGCTGCATACGTATGGAACAAGCACCAAGCTGTCAATTTATCACCTGTGCATTTTCCTGTATGCTGTATTTCAATTAAAAAAAAAAGATGACTTGGGAGGGAGGGTACAGCTCAATGGTAGAGTGTGTGCTTAGAATGCACGAGGTCCTGGGAAACAAAAAGAAAGAAAGAGGGAGGGAGGGAAGGAGGGAGGGAGGAAGGAATAAATCTAGTTATCTCCCCCTCCAAAAAAAAACACCACATTAAAAAGATTTTCAAAAGATGACTGGCTTACTTGCAAAAACCAAAAGCCTTAAGATACGGACAAAGAGGCCTTCTGGCTTTTTTATCTTCTTTGGCTTCCAGAATCCCCGCAGTAAACTCATACAGCTCTGAAGGGATCTTGGCATCTGCTCGCTCCAAGTAGTGCAGGACACCAACTGTGTGGCATGCGTTTCTCTCCGTCAGCAGCAAGACAGATTTGGTTTTTTTATCTCCCTGTTCTGCAGGAGAACCCTTAAAAACGGGGGTAAATAAAGAAAATGGATCATCCATCCCACTCTAAACAATGAAACTTTGTCGACTCTGAATTTGTCACGACGTGGAAAATGACAATGGAATGTTAAAAGGTAATAAAAAATCAATCAAACCTGTTCCGTTAAACTCTGAAAATGATCGGACATGCAATACAGGCGTCCACCAAAAATTCTGGGCGAGGAAGGAAAGCTGAAGTGGATCACACAGGTGGCATCAGTGATGGCCAGAAGTGGTACACAGTCATCTGTTAAGGCTGGAGAAAAGGATTCCGACAATTTCCAACGGGGCTGGAGTCTTACCGCACGTGTTTTACAGAGCAATTCCAGGAGCCACATCTCAACACATTTCTGTATTGCATTTTGCTTGTTAGATGCAAAGAAACTTCTTTCCCATTTTTCTCTTTCACAAAATTCCAAAGCCCAATAGTTAAACTCCAGAGAAAAGTGGTCCCCTTTTTAACTTGAAAAAATGCCTCTATTACAAATCAAGGCTGTCCATGTGGTTTTCACTTATTTTACACATTTTGACTTTTATATTTCCAATATTAAATCTAACAATCACTTAGGACAAGTTTCATCATAGGCATACATATATATGTGACAGTGGTCCTTAAGCTGGAACTCCAGGGAGCACGTCTACGCTAAGGGTTCTGCCTACTGCCCTGAGACCCGGCAGACACCTGGATCCACCTCAACGTCAGAATCTCAGTCGAGGTGAACTTCCACTTTGAAATTAACTTTACTAATAGATTCTCAATAAATCTGGGAAATGGTGAGAAATTTGGAGAGGGGATAAGAAAATGAAGACATTAATTCCTACTAGCTCAGCCTTCTCAAAATACAAGTAGAAATTAAGACACTTACCTAATACAATGTGAGAGCCATAACTTAACTTCTTCTTCCACTGTTCTAAAACACTTTTAAAATTAAAAGCCATTTCTTTATGCATCTTCAAGCAAAATATGGAACTGCTCTCTACTACCTAAAGACGAAGCCAAAGAGGCCGGTTCACACTCAGGAACACATTGCTTGGAGACAATTTTCCATCAATACTTATCAATATAAACCATTTAAAATTATCTGTGAGGGTATTACCACTAACTCTCAGATTGAGGTGATTGCAAATTTAAATAAAAGTATTTTCAAAATTCTATAGTTTAAATCTAAAAACTTGCTCCAGTGAAACAAACATTATTTTGCTAAAACCATTTTCCTTCCTTTTACAATAACGGGTACATACATATATGTACACATATATATGCCTGCCTGTATACACGCTTACCTACACAGGTGTCTGCAGGCATATGTACGTGTATACACCACATGTATGGCACCACTGTCAAAAGAGTGGCTTTTTCAGTACACCTGCTAGTTTATTACTGCGGAAAGTTGGATGCACAACCGTGCCTTTTATTTTGTACCTGGCCTCCTTTCTCCGTGCTAGTATTAATTTATACACAATTAGATTAAATACACCTTTAACCAATTCATTTGGCTTTTCTGGCTACATGATGATCTATTTTAGTGTTACTGTCTCTATTTTCTTCAACAGAAGTACGGTACAGAAGATGTTGCCACTTCTTCATGAATCGACTTCTCTTAATGCTCCAGCAGGACAAGGTACAAAGCACTGTTCCCCTAGGGGACCGCTCTCCTGGAGGCAGAGGCTGGCCCCACCCACCCACCTGGTCCCTCCTCTCAGCTAGGCCCCCCGCTGTCCCTTGTCACTGCCACCACTACTCTGTGCCATAGCCCGTTCTGACGGATGCTGAACTCATACAAGTTTATTTCCCTGTCAAATATTTAACTACCCTGGTAACTCTCTAATGATAAGATTCCACATAGTTTACACAAACAATAAGAATGTTTTATGTGTGGAAGGGCTCACCTTACACACTACTTCTGTTTCAGCTACAGAACAGGTGAAGATCAAGGTCTTTTGTGCCTGACTTGGAATGAAATCAAGAGTTTGGAGCAAAGTAGAGGTTTTTTCACATTCCAGGCAAAGGTGTACTACCTGGCAATAAAATGTAGTCACAGTGTGATTTTTTAAAAATGTTCAATGTGCCCCAGTTTTACTTTTCATAGGTAAGTCATAATTTTAATAGAAGATAAGGTACAGGAAACCAATATAAATACACAATTACATATCTGCGTATGACATTAACACTATATCCTTTTAATATGAGGCCATGAACAAAGGTCACAGGCTCGTGTTCCTCAGCCCCCGCCGCCCATGCCCACTCCCACCACCTGCTGCACATTGCCGTAGAGGGCAGCCTCCTCCATGGCCGTGATCACGACGTAGGGGTCATTCATGAACTCTCTGATTAACTGCTCTGTATGTCGATCCCAGTGAACTCCAACTGCAACAATCTGATGTGGAGCAGACTCCCTTTCTTCAACGTCAATATTTTTTTTGAAGTTATCTAATATAGCAAACATCTGAAAAATTAGTACAATTAATTTCATTTTTATTTCAAAGAAGACTAGTAATCAGCTGGACAGAACATAAAAGGTAAAGAATGTATGCTTTCTGTTCTCAGAATGGGGAAGGAAGGCCTTTAAACATAAAGGCAAAGGAATAACTAAAAAGGAAAAAATGTTAAGTACAGACAAAATGAAAACAAACAACATCTGGGTAAGTATGTGTACAACAGATAACAAAGGATTAACATCCTTATCTAAAAACTTCTACAAACCAATGAGAAAAAGACGATCCCAGAGAAAGAAAATCAGCCAGGGAAATGAACGAACAGCTCACAGAGGAACGGGCACAAGCGGTCAGTATGAGTTAATGCTCAGTTCAACATAGTAATCAAGGAAACAGAGATTAAGCAAATCAGATGCCATGTTTAAATCCTAGCCTGGAAAAGAAAGCTGGACTAAGGCCCCCTACTGCCAGGGGTGCTCAGAGGGTGGCCTGGTAGCCCATGGCTTAAGGGAGTGCCCATCAGTCTATGCTTTCAGAAAGGCCACTGCACAAGACACTGGTTCCAGATATTACTTTTGCAAATAAGAACTGAGACTATCGAGGAGCTCAGAAGCTCTGCACAGGCCCACAGTGTCAGTAAGCAACAAGGCTGGGACGTGAACCTGGGGCTATCACTGCTCCCAAATGGATGCTGTGGGCCATTATGTTACACTGTTTCCAACAAATGCCTTAGAAGAATTCATAGCCATTGATCCATTGATCCCCTTCCTAGGAATTTATTCTAAGAAAAACATGTACAAAAAAGATGTGTTTCTTGAGACACACACATATACATACAAATGATGCTAAATGTCCAAATATAAGACAATTATAAAATAAATTATGCTATGCCCATAGGATTCACTACTACATGGCTGGTAACAATCGTGCTGGAGAACCATTAGTAGCAACACTCAAAATGCTATTTACTGAAAAACGCAAGTTGCAAACTAACACATAAAATAACTTCCTGACATTATTAATTATATGTATCAACAGACACAGGAATTACAAAAAAGAAAATATTCTAAAATAGTAACAGTGAAAATAAAACAAAATAGTAACAGTGTAAGATCACGGATGACGGGGGTTTTTCAAGTGGTGTTCTCTATTTCTCAAATTTTCTAAAATAAAAATGATTGTTTCCATAACCAGAAAAATATTAAGAATTTTAGAAAATCTTCCTAGGAAAAGAATTTTTGCTCTTCAAAGAGAACTTTAACGTTGGGAAGAAAATTCAGAGAAATGTTCTTTCTTCTTAATTATAGAAGTTAAAGGGAAAAATTTTCAGATTTACCGGCTTCTTCCCAACTCGACAAATTTCCTACTTCCTAAAAGCAGCGAAGATTTTAGTTATGCATATATATGAGTGGTAACAACATCTCAGTGAATGCCATACTCACTTGCTCGTTGGCTTCAGAGAACAGTACTTCCACCTCATCCAAAACGAGGTGACAGAGTCTAAGGAATAGCAAGCTTTGATACTGGAGAAGCCTCAGGAGGCTGTGGGGTGTAGTAATAATCACATCGCCTACATTTGAAAAGAAAAAGCAATTAACATTTTAGGTTTCCCACAGGTTTTCCTAACATTGCCTTTGCTAAGGTTCCGCAGACTTTCTGGAAATGCCTTCTAACGAAATAAAAACCTGTTTTTCTTGCTCGGGTGGGTGAGACAGGAGGCCTGCCCGGGCTAACCCTGTCACTGTCTGATTGAACACCTGGGCTCCCACAAGAATTTCAGGTTCTGAAAGGCAGGGGGGCAGTTTTAGTCAACATCTAACAAACAGAAGGTCTGTAAGTGAATAAATAGTTGATAAATAAATAGACAGTTTTTTCAGTGAAACAGATGTGAGCCAAGACCAAAGCTTCACCACCCTCAGGGATCGGGGACTTGGTAAGTGAGGTCTGGACTAGTGACGGCTGGCTGATCGCACACGGGCCCTGTGTCGGCGGCAGCTCCAGGCCTGCCTGAGCGGGGCCCACGGTGTCCTCCAGGGGAAACCAAACACCCTGGAAAGAGTGCTTACACCCCCTTGGAAGCTTCAGATTTTTGGCTTCGTCTTTGTGGAGTCCGACTGTCAGCAACATAGGATGCAGCGGCCTGGAGGACGTGCCGTAGTCTCCCAGTAATGCAAAAATAAACTGGGCCTTTTTCCAGCCAGGGCACACGATGATTGCCAGAGGCTGCAAAGACACACAAATTCACGTAATTCTGGACAAAAGTTAGGAAGCAAAGACAGTATATGCACAGCACACACGAATATCTCCTCGCGCGCAGGAATCACCATGCACATTTTTGCTAACATCACTGTCATACAGGTCAGGGTGGGTCAGTGGAATGGATGTAGGCACGCTGGCTCGCATTTTGCTAGGACGAGTTTAACGACGCACGAGTATTAAGTCATTTAGTCCTTAGAGTTCCCTTATAGAGTGAGGCTGATTACCACCTCATTTCATAGATGAGGAACCTAAAGCACAGAGAGGTGAAGTCAGTTGCTCAAGGCTGCACAGCTATGTCTGGTAGCAACAGGATTTACAGCCAGGTAATCTGGCTCCAGAGCACCTACTCCCAAGCACAAGGATGAACTAACAGCCTCCTAAAAGGGGACTTTAAAAAGGTTAACCTCTCTTCCTTAGGAGATGAGGGTTCCTATTGCACCACCTGCACCCTGCTCTCCACTATCCCACGCGTATCACCTGAAGGTGCACTGCCTGCCCAACACCTTCCTGGACACCCGGCCTCAATTAACTCAAGACAAGAACGAGTCTCCTCTTTCTTTGATGCAGATCCAGGCAACTACCAGCTTCCAGGGCTCACACCTAAATGCAGGTTGATTGCGGAGAATCAGAAAAAGCAAGATGGACACAAGGGGCAAAACCCAGACATCCCCTTCTGGCAGCGCCAGGGTTCTACCTCAGCACAAGCTGCAGCTCACCAGCAGCGGTCAGCTGCTAACTTACTGAGCAACAGAAATGAATCCATCATAACACAGCCGATGCAGATTTCCAGAGGGAACTCATTAAACTACATGGCATAATTAGAAAAATAAACCAGTATCTTTCCTAAAATGAAATTCTAAGTTTCTTTTAGTACTTCCATTTTTCACCTAATAACGAGTGGCAGAACCATCTGTATGTAGTGTATCTTTCTAGATAAGCCCGAGACAAGGGTCTCACACACGAGTTCACACGTGAGTTCACCTAGCAGCCGAAACCCAGCAAAGCAGACGTCACTCCCCCATCACCATTTGATCCTCACACCCAGTTTCTCTCCTTTCCATCATCCTTCTCAGCTATTTTCCAATTCTTACATGTGGGAAGAATAAAGCAGGATTATAAAACAGTGTGGGGTGCTGTGAAAATAATTTATAGAGGACAAGATGGCAAAAAACTGAAATTCAAATCCCATTTCTTGTTACACTCGTCAGCTTTTAAGAACTTTTACCAGTGACTTCTCATGAGCTTAACGCTCTCATCTATAAAACACTGAAAACAATACTGTGGCCTGACCATCTTAAAGGGCTGCCATGACAATCAGATGAATTCAATCAATGAAATAATTCTATAAACTGTATATTCATCCCCCAAAAGCCAGGATTCTCCTGTCCCAGCCGATGGCCCGTAACTAGGGGCTTTCGATAAAAACCAGCGACTGTGTTAAGAGTTTCTCACAGGACAATTTCTGCCCTGCCAGTTTTAATGTAACGTATGCTTTACCAAAGGTTAGGTGTCAGATATAAAGTAAAAATGTAATCCATTTTATTGCAAAACAAAATTGTCTTCAACTTACTCCGTTTCTGCTTGGTAATGACTTGTAGCAGGCCCCAGTTTGCAAAATTGTAAGCAATGGTGGAAGGTACAACAGAGGATCATTTCCACAGTGAGAAACGACCACCACATCACAGCCACGTGCTATGGGAGGCCAAGAGTAAGACTCAGTGTGGCTGGGTCCCGGAAACTTATTCCTTTGAAGAGCCTACAAAACAGCAATGACAACCAAAACCACAATAAAGCACAGAAAACCAACAAACGCCTGCTCAGTGTTCGCTTGACCCCAGTGATGAGTACACACTGCTCAGTCTGGTATTTCCCAAGACCTAACTTAAATCCCCCTGAATCTTTTCTAGCACCGGACTCCTGCTCAAAGGCTCTTGCTTTTCTGGGCTTCAAACTAAAAGGATCTAACAAGCAGCCTGCTGATGGACCAGGTGCTTAAAGCTCACCAGAGCAAGGATGCGGCTTCTCCTCTTCCTTCTGATAATCCGCTGGTGCATCAGCTCCACTCATAAAGCTTTTTAAAAATCTGCCTTTGTTTGCTTATTTTTCTATGTAATTTGTCACCGAAACCTCCCAAATGCTCCACAGAGGAGAGCTGTCCATCCTCACTAGCTTCCAAAGGGCTGGAGCCATCAGCACCGTTATCTCTGGGGAGGCCCTGGACCCCAGCTGCCATCCTGGGATCCTCCTCCATCACCATTTTCTCTGCAACTTTCTCGGTTTACTTCCTTGGTTTGGTGGAGAACAAGTTTTGGCAGCTTCTTGACAAAAGGGTACAGAGGAAAAAAAAAAACTGAGACTACAGCATGTCCGAAAATGTTTCCGCTCTACCCTCACACGTCACTAATGGTCTGAGTTTAGACCCCTATGTTGAAAATAACTTATCACCAGAATTTCGGAGTCAGGGTTTCTCTGGCAAACTGTGGAGAAGCTTGAAGTCATTCTGATTCCTGACCCCGCTGCGGGACCAGTTTCTTCTTTCTGGAAGCTTTCATGCTCCCAGAATCCCAAGTTTTAGATGCTTCACAGCAACACGTCTATTCACTCGTGCTCCTTCCTCCGTTGTGCTGGATCTGTGGTCGGCAAACTCTTCTAATTTTACAAAGTCATATCCACTAAGTCTAGGAAGTGTTCACGTGTTATTCTTCTCAGAATTTTCTGCCCTCTTTCGTTATTCTTTCTGGAAATCCCATTGAGACGTGAGACCTCAAACTGACCCTCAAATTCTCCCCCCCACCCCATTTCCATCTCTTTGTCTTTTTGTTCTACTTTCTGATAGTTAGCTTCTATCTTACCTCTCACATCTAATGTTTTTTATTCCTATAGCATTTTGAATTTCTAACAACCCTTTTTCTGGCCATTCCTTTTTTACAGGACCTTGTTATTATTGCTAAATCCATGCAGTATCTTCTCTTATCTCTGAGGATATTTGTTTTCTTTCGCTCCTTACATTGTTTCTTTCAGAGTTTGTTCTGGTCTTTGTTTTGTTTTTTTTAAGGGGAAGGTTTTCTTCCAGTGTGCAACAGTCCCTGACGTCTGTTCACATTGAGGAGGACCCTAAAAGCGGTCTAGACCTGTAGGCAGAGCAAAGCTCACTACCACGTGAGAGTCACATCACTGCAGGAAAACAGGCGGCAAGCAGGCATTTTTATTTGCTGGGAGGATTCAAAACAGCATCACCTGAAAGTCATCCTCCAGGGCAATTCAGTTTCTCCAAACAGAGCCCCCAGCCTCCTTTCTGAGAAACTGGCTGTGGATGTGCAGGAAGCAGGCTGAGCAAGGTCCCACCCCTCCGCACATCACTCCTCCCTCAATGTGGTCAGCCATCTCGGATGCCCGCTTCCATCTTCTAAGAGCCTGCAGGAATTTCTTGTCCACTAAAGACTCTGCGCTCATTCTATTCATCCTTGTGGTTTTATTTTCCTTTATTAAAAAATACTTTTTTTATATCAAGAGGTAAGTAGATCTAAGTGAAACCACAGGGCTATAATAAAGCAATTTTGAAAAGAATGCTAAGTACACTCCAACTGCCCTGACAATTTGCTCTTCTTTCTAAGCCCTCTTCCAGAGGCACACCAGAAAACCCACTGCAGGAAAGCACTTAGGTTTCTCTGCAAAAGAATTACACACTTATAAGAGGTTAACCTGGACTTACGAATAAATGAGGAATTAACAACACAAGCTTAAAAGAGAACTCCAAAAGCAAAGAAATTATACAAATGTAACCTCAGAACCGTTTATTAAAATCTTTCTACGTTAAGACAGGTCAGCACTCCTCCACGAGTGTGGTCTGAGCACCTTCACCTTTCTCAGGTCTGCGGAGAGTGGCGCCGTGTCAATGGATAAGCAGGGCTCGATCTTGTTCCGCAGCACCACCAAGGGCTGCCGGGAGCCCGACTTCAGCTTCTGCAACTAAGATCGCAGGCGTTAGACACCTCTGCCCTGCAGTGTTAGCACAGCACACCAAGAGCCATATGGAGGTTTGATACAAGAAGATACAAGAGCTTGATTCCAAGGTAAAAACCTAGGTTTATATGATTATCAAAGAAACCACCAAAGCTACCAAAATGAAAGGAAGAGCATCCATCACCCAAATAGAAGAAGGGCAACGTCTCTAAAGCCATTAATTCACTAGATAATTTCCAGAAGGATGGCATCAGGAAAAGTCCTCCACGTAAGAAATTTCTCATCTAGTGGGAGGAAGGTGAGGGGTTTAAAGAGTAAACAGTTCTCTTTCTTTTTTGGGGGGAGAGGGAGCTACAATACCTGCTGAAGATCAGAGATTCCATCAGCTCTCAAAGGATCAGGATTTAGAAACTGCAATAATCTGTAAAATAGTTAAAAGGATAATTGGACTTTTGAAAAAACGGTTTATTTTAATTCTTCCTTGACAGAGGCAAAATGAAGTATCTCTCCCAAGGCATGGCTGCGACATTACTGCTCGATTTGTTTAGCCTTGTCTATTGCAGCACAAGGACTGTGGTGGTCTTGCCAGTCCCGTGCTGCCCCTTCCCCCTCTGAGCCCGAGCTGTGGACAGAGCATCGCCAATCCCAGGACCACCTGCTCTGGACAAGGAGAAAGGCTGCATGATCACGAGGTCATCTCAACGTTTCTTCAAACAAACTCATTGTCTCCTTCCTTTTCTGCTGTTTAATTCTGAACACCTTCCAGGTTCCCTGGAACCCACAGAATGATACAGTAACTGATGTCGCTTAATCAGGGAGTTCGAAGTCAAGGGTATTTAGCTGAAAGAAATGAGCTGCATGGATAATGCAAGGTCTTTTGCTCCTAGGAAAATAACCTCTTGTAGTACCACAACTTTCAGGTACTAGGGGGACGGATGCCCAGGGAGGAGGATGTCAACTCTGGTGCATTAACAGCCACCCCTAGACCCATGGGCTCCATGGCAGCATTCAGAGCCCTCAGCCCTGGACATGGTAAGGAGCTCCTGCTGGGGGAGAGGATGGCACTGGGCCACAGAGTGGCTGCAAGGTTAATACCACCTCCCCAGTCATTCCAGGCCAGCTGGTGGATACCTAAACCACTAATGAACCGTCTTAAACACACTGTCACTCTGTGGCTTCTGAGCAGCCGTAGTTACTTGGAATGTAACAGTGTTTTTAGGCTGGAAGGGTAAGAAATCATAAAAACTGGTAAGAAAATATTTTGTGTATTAAGCAAGTATAAATTGAAGTTATCACCCTATTATTAATAACCTGTAAGTGAATACTTTGTGAATCTGGCAGGGCAAAACAAAACAAAAATCCCCCACTTTCACACTGCAAATAATTAGTTTCTCCAGCAGGAGGCAGACCTATTTAACATCGGAAACTGGGAAGCAAGCTAGCACCAGCCCATATAAAACCAACAGCCTCAAAAGATCGACTGTATCTAATTTGTTTCATAAAACTGCTCAGGTCACCAAGAGAAGCGGGAGGGGGAGGAAGACTGTTTACAGCGGAACAAGCTTCAAACAGGAAAATCAGTGAATGGAAAAGAAAAAGCTTCAAAGCCTACAGAAGACACTGTGTATGAATATATTTACTTTATGGGAATGCAGGTTTGAAATTAATAATAAAGTCATACATAAATTCTTCCTGCTTATAATTTTATTACAATTATTTCAATAGAACATTTAGGCCAAGAAAAACCCCATACTTCACACAGCCATTCTTCTCATTGTGCTCCCTCTTCTCAGCCAGCCTCAGCGGCTTCGCAGGTGGCTTCTGGCAGGAAGCGCTAGAAGGAAATCAAAAACCACTTATTAAAGCCTTTAGAGCCCATTTACCCCAAATCCTGAAAATATGTTTACTTCCTGGGAGAAAATTTAAGAAGTACCACTGAGGAACAAGTTGATTAACTGAAGCACATTTTGCGAGAAGTGAAGCGGAGCCCAAGTATGAAAACCGTTCCGCAGGTCCTGGTGCTGCCAAGAGGAAACAAGCCCACTACAGCCTCCCCCTACGAGCAACGCAGGACGAGGAACAAAACTACAGGGAGAGAAGTCAAAGACCGAAAGACCAGAACCGTGGAGCGTTTCCTGGCTGCCACCGTCTTCTATTTCTCGGTGTTGACCTGAGGGTGGCCCGAGTCGCAAATCTGTGTAGCAAATGTAGACGTCAAAACCCCACAGTCGCTGCTGCCCTTAGTATCTGCAGGGGATTGGTTCCAGGAGCCCCTTGGGTACCAAAATCCGAGGATGCCCCAGTCCTTTGGTAACACAAAAGAACAGCTCTGACTCCATATTAGATCTGTTCCTTTGGCTTTAACCCTGTGCCCTGTTTTCCAGGCTTAGTCTTGCTAGCTCTGCACCTTTTGTAAAAACAATGTTGCCTTTAGCCTGAAATATACAGGAGAGCCTATTCTCAAGGCTCTGATC